GTTCTTACCACATTTTGACGTCTTCTGTGATCTATTACTGAACAGATGCACGGCAACATGGAATCTATTTGTTTTATATGATAACGAAACAAACTACTATAGATAAATCTTTTTTTTATTTCAAAATCTTTCAACATAACTCGAAAGCCGGCCTCTGCCCACTTTGGCGAACACGAGAAAAGCCATTTGACGTAATCTATTGTCCATACAAATTGAAGCAATCTCATTGGTTGCTATGCGTAGTAAAGAATTTTGATTGGTCCAGGAAAATCACACCACTGTCAAACTTGACTTGAGTGTCACTTCTCGTGGAATGAAAACTTACAGCGAAAGCAGAATTGAACTGCAAAATCTACAAATCTTAAAGAAAATGCAGGATAAGTCAGGTCAGGTTTTGTCATCAGAGCAGCCCTGTGAGCCGAAAAGCTTGGATGTTGCTTCGAATACTGCAGGAGTTGAAAAATTACGCTCGGAAAACTTGTGGTTGTGGTCAACCTGGAGGCCATTCGATTCAAGTTTTGAATGAAAGGAACGTTAGTGATGGTGGAAATTTGTGTCCTCTGTGGTTGGCGATTCTCAAATCAGTGTGAAATAGTGTTGGTGACACCTTTTAGCTGCGATACAGTTGGCCATGAGCTGTAGTGAGTTATACTTTGCACGCTGCTGTGCCCTGAAACAGACCGGAACATTCGCATCGGAAAGGAAGGTTATGTGTTTATTTTCATGATTTTAAGACGTGGTTTTGATGTTTCATTCCAGACAATCACTGTGTCAACAATAATATTATTTTGAGACTGAGAAAAGTTCAATGTTTTAAATAAATGAATCTCATAAACATTTTGTTTATTGGAACAAGATAAAGCAATGGTTCTTGGCTTACCAAGAGACCAATTTTGTGTTTGGTTTAGTCTTGCTCGCCTGCCAACTTGAGACTGCTCGAGTATTTTTTTCCATCAGTCATTTTATAAAACAGAAACAGCTTTATCTTTCTTCTTCCTGCTAGACTATGCTTCTGGTACCTGTTCAATGCCTGGACAAGACTTTCTTGTACCTTGTCTTTTGCCCGGTCATGTAAAATATTATCTAAATTCTCAAAACTTTCCACCATTTTAACACACAGAGGGAAAAACTTTGAAATGATGACGTCAATCGTGCTTCTGTCCTCTAATAGATCATAGGCGAAAACCAATCAAAATGCGAGAATAACTTGGGTTATTATATAAACCTATATATTTACTTCTTAATTGTATTGTATTGCAGCGGTAACGTTAAGTGGTTCAGCTTTAGTAGTTCTGGTTAGCTGATCAGCTGTTGTCGAGTATTCTAGTAGACGAAGCCACATCTAACGCGTGCATCGTGTAAGCATTCTGTAATCACTCCAATACTGGGTCTCGGTCCAACTAACTTGAATTACTGAATATAATGTAAACCTATAATCTCACCTGTTTGGCATTTTGCAGCGCGTTCAAAACCAAAGAAACGAGGACAGCCGGGCCGTGTGCAGCGCGTGATTCGGAAGTTTCACCAGACATCATTTGATACGACGTAATATCGACTCAGTAAAAGGTACACGTGTATAATCCTTCTTAACTTTAATCTTTACCGGGTTTGCAACCAATTTTCTTATGCGAAGATTCCACATTTCAAACGCAAGCTGGTTTGCTGCTCGAGGATCCCTTACAAAAAGGAACAGGCGTACAAGGCAACGGACTGGGAACTAGGCTTTTTGTCTTTAAGGAGACATTTTGTTCATGTTATATGATGTAAGAATCAACGTGGTGGCTCGGATGGGTAACGCGAAATATTTGTTTCACCTTAGCTTAACAGGTGTTAGACGGATAACAGCAGCCGGTAAGTAGTGTTAAATTCCGTTTTTAATGCATTTAAACTTCTTTTAACTTTCATTCCGAAGGAAAACTTGGACATGAATGTACAATGTCTGCAGCACAGTTCATATTTAAATTTCTTCTGATATCGATCAGCACCCCCCCGCCCCACCCACCCCCCCGCTCCCGCCGAATAAAACTCCTGGGAGCTTGGTGTGTCCTGAATCTAGAATCAGTGTGGATATTGCTGTTCTGGTCAACACAGGAAATCAAATGAAATATGACAGGATTCTCAAGCACCATATTTTTGCTTTTCCTGCTACCTGAATAAGCTTTGACTGTTTAAGGACCACGTACACCCTGATGGAATCATGTGTACTAAAGGCATCCGTGGTCAAGTGTTGATTGATACCCTTGATCGATACCCTCAAGATCGACCCTCCATCAACATCTTGGTCGACGGTCTACTAATTTTTGATTGATGCATGTGAGTCGGTCAAGTGTCGACCGACCATCGACTGACTATCGACCGACTGTTGACCAAGTGTCAATTGAGTATCAATATTGGAATGTCGATCAGGTATTGATCAAGATGTCGATCGAGGGTAACGATCAACAATCGACCGCAGATGCCTTAAGTACACGTGATCCCCCTGACAAACCCTCCCCACACACCCAGAGAAATATAAGCTTATGTATGCCCCCCAACTTTGTCACAGTCAAAGGAATAGCATTTTCAACCTGGCACTGCAGGGTTTTTTTGAGATTCATGAGGCTATGTAAATATGGAAAAAGTCGTCTACTGCCTAATTATGTAACTCTAGGGCATAAGTATTTTCTGCAGATGTGCAGTGGTAACACCTTCCAGACATTCTCGGCCCTGGTTGTATAAGACATACAGACTGAATCTTGAGGGCCTCCCTGGGGTGAAGTGGGGGGAGGGAGGGATAGCATGTTGTCTTGATCCCTTGAAAATTTCTCTTTTTCTCCCTTGTTTCCTAAAGGTTTTTGTCAATGTTCCTGCCAATAGTAGAAATATCCCTTGTTCTCTTGAAATAAATGATCATGTTCCCTTATTCCCTATGACCCATGGGAGGCCCTCAATGTCCCGGTCTCCCATATGGGTCGCCAAATCACCAGAACAAAATGAAGGAAACCATTTTTCAGACAATTTTGGGCTGACTTCTGAAAAACATGTTCTGGATATTTGACACATTTTTGTGGCTGAATTTGCAGAGCCCAGTACCTCAAACAACTGTTTTTCAGGGTCAAGGTCAAATTGGCAATCTCCCAGATTTTGTATTTTTTGGTGGGTGTCCATCTCTGATCAAGGACCCATTAAGTGTACTCAGCTGTACTACATGTTAAGGGTTACTGCCCTAGTAAGAGCTCTACAAACATAATGTCTTCACCACTTATGTTTCCTTCAAAAATCAAAATATACTATTAAAGCTGCATGAGATTTCACAATTGTGCTAGGTCACAATATCAGGCCCCGACAATTTCAGACCCCACACTTTTCGCGCAAGACTACAATATCAAGCCCCAAACATGACACCTACAATCCCAGACCCCACGCTTTTCGTGCGAGACTACAATATCAGGCCCCGAACATGACACCCACAATTTCAGACCCCACGCTTTTCGTGCGAGCTTACAATATCAAGCCCCGACAATGTCAGACCCCACGCTTTTCGCATGAGACTACAATATCAGGCCCCGAACATGACACCTACAATCTCAGACCCCACGCTTTTCGTGCGCGACGACAACAATGATCAGAAACCCTCGAACCTTCGCCAAAGATTCATTTTTCAGGCAATCTCTCAGCCGTGCACACTTATAAGCTGACATACCAGCCGCCTGAAGGGGTTTATTTATTTGATTAAGGAGAGGCCAAACGTGAAACTTCATTTTAAAATTTCAGTCAATGACATGTGTTTACGTGGAATAAATTGGTCAGTTAATGGAAGTCCATACCCTCTGGTTGCAAGTAAACGACTTATTTTCACCTATACGACATTGCTTAAACCGGTATTTGAAAATAGTGAAAGAGGTGTTCCAGTGCTGTCGATGAATAGAACTATAAAAATTTCGGGCGTGGAATTATACAAATATCCCAATAAAGAAATGCTATAAAATCACCTTACGCTTGATCTTTATCAACGTGTTATACACTTCTCGTCGGTCTACCTTATTGTATAGAAAAGCTTCGGTACATTAAACGAGTAATATGCGAGTGTGAGAATTGCGTGACTACATAAAGCAATCGACATGATACCAATCTGTCAGCGAAGTCTGCTAATAAACAAAGGCATTTTGAGGTCAACAAAAATTTCAAGACGCTGGTTGCGTGACTTGAAACAAAGTGATAAATATAATTATCTTAGAACGTTTTGGGACGGATGCTTGCTTCAAAAATATATTTTAAAAGCATTTATAATTTATATATTTCCTAAAAAATAGTACCAGAATACGGTAAAAAGAAACGTGATGCTGTGAAGTCTATAGGCTAGAAAGGAAGTTGCAACAATGGCGACTTTCTCTTCCAGTGAACTTGCAGTTTGTTATTTTGTAATAGCCATATTTCATAATAATTTCAGTGCACTACTGAAGAATTACTGTATTACTTAGCACAACAGTTAACATAAAGTTAAGCCCGACACATAAAACAGTCAAACCAGACTGATATGGTCGGGGTCTGATATGGTACGTTGGGGTCTAATATGGTAGGTCAGGGTCTTGTATTGTATGTTGGGGTCTGATATGGGGGGCCTGATATGGTAGGCCATGTTCCAACTCTAATAGCACTGATCAGCCCCAATTTTTTGACGTTACTTTCGGGGGGTTGTTACTTTTGGAAGTTTACGGTAGTTGTTAACTAAACTGTTCTTTATCATTTTTTAAAATATTTTCATTCAAAATTTGACAGGAATTCTTGGATTCTTCAGCAAAAGAGCTCTTTCATCCCTCCCTGAGAGTCATTCCAAGCCAGTGAACATTGTTCACTCAGACATGAAGGTTCACATACTTCCTGCACTTTCTGATAACTACATGTATCTTGTTGTTGATGAGAAAACACAGGAAGCAGCCATCATAGATCCAGTGGAACCTAAAAAGGTAGACTAAACATAACACGGTGTACTTTACTGATTATTGTACATCTATTGACTGTGCTGACAATCTGTTGCCTGATATTGTAATCCCCATGCTAGGTCATAGGTTCAACCATAAGACATTACTGCTACCTAGTACTTACAAATTTTGCGATGTATGTGATATCAAATTGTTGTTAGGTCGTTGAGGCTGTAAAAAATCACGGAGTAAAGCTTACAACAGTGCTAACTACTCATCATCATTGGTAAGTCTTCACAAACTTAGTCTTTATTAACAAGATTTGGACTGTGAAGGATCCATTCAAAATTCTGGCCAAACTGGGAGTCACACTCAAAAATTCAGATTTGTTGTGCAAGTAATGACATTTGCTTTTCCAGTTGTGAAGTGCAGTTCTCAGTGAAGCAATTTAAACTCACCCTGCTACCATTTTCTCACTATCTGTTGATGGACATTCAGTCAATCTACTTTCTCCCTCTTCAACACCAATGAAAGTGGTTTTTTATCATTTTTCATTTTACACAAGGGAAATGAAATCTGGAATTGGAAAGAACTTAAATGGAACTTGGCAACTTGCTTGACTAATGAACAAATTGAATTGAAAGCTGCAAATTGTTTCCAGCAAATTGTCAATCTGTTTTGGAACATTGCACCACATTACAGAATTCCAGTTTGTCTGCACCATGTGACTGAAAATAAGTCCTTATGTTATTAGGGATCATGCAGGTGGTAATGAAGAATTAGCTCAACTAGTTAAGGGACTGACAGTGTGTGGAGGTGATGACAGAATTGGTGCACTAAACAAAAAAGTTGGACACAGAGACCAAATGAAGGTACTTTACAGCTATAAATTTGAAATTCCTGTCAGAAACCACCAAACTTGAGATTAAATATATTTTTAAAAAATTTGTCATCATCATGTGTCATGCCTGGGAGGTCAATATGTTTGACTATTGTCCTTGATGTGTTAATGGTGTTCTCAGTTGGAATCTTGCTCTTGCAATGGCTTCTCTCTACCCTGGCTGGTTTAATAATACCAGAAATCAGATGGCTAGCCCGAGGCCTGCTTATTACAAATGAACTTGAATTTTGTTTAAGGTTGGAAACCTTGATGTACAGTGTCTTTTTACACCTTGTCATACTAGTGGTCATATCTGCTATGTGGTCAGTGGTCAGCCAAGTGCAGTATTCACAGGTAGGAGACTCCTGATTGACTTGTTAGTAAGTAGGGAGGCAGGCAGTAAGGAAAGTATTCTAAGTAGGTACATGTAGGTACATGTATGTAGGAGGTGCATCAGTCAGTCAGTCAGTCAGGCAGGCAGGCAGGCATGCTTTATAGATCCTAGAGTATGCCATGAGAAACCTCACCAAATCGCCAGCCTAACACATTTTCAGACAGATGTTGCATTTCACTTTCAGGTGACACACTTTTTGTAGCCGGATGTGGAAAATTCTTTGAAGGGCGTCCTCCAGAAATGTACAAGGCCTTGATTGACATTCTTGGTAAACTACCACATGATACTGTGAGTATTTAACTGTCAATTAACACTTTAAAAGTAAATGTACTGTTAAGATTACCAAGTGATGTTCTAAGTACAGTATGTGGGAATAATCCGGTGACATCATTGGGGTGTGTCCTACACGATATCAGCAAGAATTTTGTCTTACTGACAGGGAAACTTTTCATTACAATATTTAGTTTGTGAAACAATGAATCATTCTGGCTTGTTTGCATACAGAACCTTTATAGCTGTGTTAAGCGTGGCCATTATAATTATTACAATTATTATTAGTAATCATATTGTCTCTGCAGTTGCATTCTTTAATAAAATAATGTGTACATTACTAGACAATTTATTTGTGTTTGTCCTTTGTTCCAGCTTGTTTATTGTGGACATGAGTACACTGAAAACAATCTTAAGTATGCAGTTCATGTGGAGCCACAAAACTCTGAAATACACAAGCAAATTGAATTTGCTAAGGTGATATAAATTCGAAACAAACATTATTTCACGACAGTCTGTATAATTTACTAATTAAACAGTTTGTTGTAAGATGTGACAGTACTACAACATGACTCTATGTTAGCATAACAGGATCAAATTTTTCTTTCTTGGAGAAATACCAAATTTAAATTTTCTGTGAAATTATAGATGTTAATGGCATTATTTATAAGGACCAAACAGTAGATAATTCTGCACCCATTATATGACGCTGTAAAAAGTGTGATGAGTTTCATTTTGTTTCCAAGCATTAAAGCATAATTATTATTAACAGCATAGTTATAGAGGATTCTTCCAATACATCCACAATCACATCCAAATCGTCTCCAAATATCGTTAGTCTTACTTCATCTTCCATTTTGTCGACAATAATGCAGGGTCACTATCAGGTGATGTGCATGCTCAACACAAGGCTTTTGCTTCAGTCTCTGAAGTTTGCTGGCTTTCATAACATGTCTCCTCCACTAACTACGTTGAGAGTAAAAATACTTTGCTATTTTACTAAAAGCAGTAATTCTATGGTGCTAAATGTTAGAAGCAGCATTAAATAAAATTGTTTTAATTTGTTTATTAGAGCAAAAGAAAGGCAAATGAACCAACAGTGCCATCCACCATCGGAGATGAGTTCAAATTTAATCCATTTATGAGAGTCCAGTAAGTGATGATGCCAACGACTTACAGCAGGGTCCAGAAATAAAAAGCCTACCCAGCAAAGAATTGGATCTCATGTTTTAATAACTGTTTTTACAAAAACAAAAAAGTCAGTTGAAGTAATGTTTTTAGCCATAATTAGTAAATGTGGCTGTTGTGATGTAAGCTATTGTAAGTAAGCTGTTGTTTCCCAGCTTACCATGTGCTTGCAGACATGTTGCTCATGTAAACGTGTAGTTGTTGCATTCAGTTGTCTCGAACTTGCTTGTGGAGGTTCAACTGCAGTACTTTCAAATAACTGTCATTGACAGCACATTATAAATCAGCTAATGGAAAATTTTCATTTTTCAGGGAGGAGAGCATTAAGAAATATGCAGGGAAGTCAGACCCAGTTGATGTGATGGGATTTCTTAGACGTGACAAGGACATGTTCAAGGCTAAACACTGACTCAAAGTCTGAGTATTGAATAATTAGGCAAAGTGCTGGTTAGATAATAACTCCAAACTACTTGACAAAACTTAAGCAAGTGGTTGTAAATGGTCCTTCAGAATATTAACAGACATCTGAAAGAATTTTAGCCAATTTTCACAGGTCTCACTTGTCACAAATTACCATTTGCCACCACTAGAATAGTTGCATTAATCAGGCTGTTGATTTTCTGCAAGAAAATTGTAGAAAATGAGTATGCTGTATAAATGGAGAGAATGAGAACTAAAGAATAAAAATGTGATTAGTTGCTGTTAAATGTTAGAGCGGTTTTCAATTGACTGTCGTAAAACGAAAAACAAACCAATTACATACCAGTTAGACTACGCAGCCAATCTCAAACCGTAGTAAAACCAAAACCCAAACCAAAGTAATTTTCTAATTACTTTCGACACTCAGATGAAAACTGCCCTATTGATAAATCAGAACTTCCTTTCACAAAAGTGAGTAGTGAGTTCAAAGAATGTCACCCAAGAACAAGACAAGTTTGAGTTGAGTCTTTACCTTAATCTTACATTCCAGAGATTATGTTGTAATAGGAACTGTTTCTATGTAATCTAGCTACTTGTAGGAACAATTTTTAATTTAAAAAAAAATCTTTGGTGTGTAATGTTCTTTCCATTTTTAGCACTGGTTTGCCTTGTACAGCATATTTAGCTTGTGTTGAGGAAGCACCTTAAGAAAGCCGAGTGTTGGCAATAAATTTTTTTGTATTGAACATGGTCAGTCAAGTTCTCCAAGAATATTTGGTTCTTACATGACCATTTTGTGGCTGTCATTTTATGCCTGAAGATATTTCGCAGTAAATGCCTCTCTTCACCCAAGTGTTTAAGTGAACTTGTGAATTAATTGCAAGGGGGTAACCCTGAAATGGACTAGCATTCCATCCAGGGAGAAGAAGAAATACTCCTAGTTAGAGTCAAGTTGAATAAATTAATAAAAATAAATTAAAGAATTTAGAAGGGAAGCCACAGCAGCCCTAGCTGGTTTCAATACATGTTCCTCTATCCAGGTCAAATAGCCCACTTCTGAGTTGACCTAAACCCCTATCAAGGCAAGGCCTGGTGCACAACCATTCATATGAAAATGAGTTTAATTTGCATGTGAATGAAATCTCATTTTCATATGTAAAGATGGGAAGCAAGACTCACTTTGAGAAAGAGGCTTAAGGTAATTTGGAAAATGCCCATTGGAATTTGGAAATATTGGTTCATACTGGAGAAAAACCCTCAGTGCAAGGCAAGAACAAACAAACTCAACCCATATATGGCACCTCCAGAATCAAGCCACGGCCACATTTGAGGGAGTGGGGGGTTTTCTCCAGAAAGAAACCTGGAAATTGTTTCCAGATATACATTGTGTACCAGTACCATAAAAAAGTAAGCAGTTTCTAGGTTTACACATTATGGCTTGTGTTGTTTCATCCTTAAAGTTGTGGAAATTGTCGCTCCTTTTGTTTAGAAGATTGTTTTAAAATTCTCGACTTTACTTCCACAAGCTTGGAATTGAAAATCAAGGAAGCCATGCACATCCTTTGGGAGCAGCCATCTTTAAATTCCCAGGTCAAACATCTTAATTTATCCCATCTTCATACTAATTAGTCTCCTTTCTTAGCTTAAATAGTTTTACTCTTTTTTTTGGTTCGCACCTTAATCCTTAATTATTCTTGTTAATATCTCAGTTTGTCATGGTATTTATTGCATATTTTCATTTTATTTCTACGTGTACAACTGACAATGGATGATGCCTTATCTGAAACATATATTTTCTTCATTAAATAATGAACTTCAAAAGCATCATGTGGTTCATCAAAGTCATATCTTATTTTGTGCTGCTACGAAGCCTTAATAATAATAATAATAATAATAATAATAATAATAATAATAATAATAATATACCATCCACAAAAAAAGGATAAATATTGACAAACTTTATTACTATGTAAAAATTATCACAATACAAAAACAACAGTAAGATTAAAGATTTTACTACTATGTATATTTATTTGTCAGTATAACTATCATTCAGCTGTTCCTCACTTATTTTCTTTGGAATCTATATCCATGTTATTTATAAGATTTCAATGGTACAAGTTTTAAAAGCATGCATACGTGCATTTCAATGTCTGAATCAATGATTCAATGCGTTAGAAGTAGTTGATACTGCACTTTGTGTAACTCATGAAACAATGGTTGGATCCTGGACAGTCCAGCGATGTAAGTCAAAACAGTTAGATTCTGTAGTGTTGCAGTAAAACCAAGTGACGCGTACCCCTCAAGATTACATTAATGAATGAGTACGTGAATATTGAACCCGCTAATCATTTCAAGAATGCAATAATGAATTGATTATTTGATTATTGAACTCGCCAGTCATTTCAAAAATCAATATTAAATTGATTTTTTTAACATTAAACCCATTAAGCGTATCCTTGGAATGACTAGTGGGTTCAATTTTCCAATAGTCAATTCATTAATGCATTCTTGAAACAACTAGTGGGTTCAATATTCAAATAATCAATTCATTAATGTAATATTGAGGGGTATGCTTCACTTGGTTTGACTGTAATATGTCAGCGCGTACAAAGCCATTCACCTGGGCAAGCTAAGGGAACTCTGTAAATAATAATTATAAGTTATGGTATGCTAGTTCCATGTATCAATTCCTTACAAAGTCATTTATCTGCT